TATGAACAGACGCGCACTCTCAGAGGATATGAAAGGACGTGTACTTTCACATTTTATGTTATGAACAGACGCACACTCTCACAGGATATGAACAGATGCACTCTCACAGGATATGAAAAGACGCGCACTCTCACATACTATGATATGAACAGACGCGAACTCACATGATATGAAAAGACGCGCACTCTCACATACTATGATATGAACAGACGCGCACTCTCAGAGGATATGAAAGGACGTGTACTTTCACATTTTATGTTATGAACAGACGCACACTCTCACAGGATATGAACAGACGCACACTCTCACAGGATATGAAAAGACGCACACTCTCACATACTATGATATGAACAGACGCGAACTCACAGGATATGAAAATACGCGCACTCTCACATACTATAATATGAACAGACGCGCACTCTCAGAGGATATGAAAGGACGTGTACTTTCACATTTTATGTTATGAACATACGCACACTCTCACAGGATATGAACAGACGGACACTCACAGGATATGAAAAGACGCGCACTCTCACATACTATGATATGAACAGACGCGAACTCACAGGATATGAAAAGACGCACACTCTCACATACTATGTATGATATGAACAGACACTCTTACGGAATATGAAAAGACGCGCACTCTCACATACTATGATATGAACAGACGCGAACTCACAGGATATGAAAAGACGCACACTCTCACATACTATGTATGATATGAACAGACATTCTTACGGAATATGAAAAGACGCGCACTCTCACACACTATGATACGAACAGACACACACTCTCACAGCTATGAGAGGACGTGTACTTTCACAATTTATGTTATGAACAGACGCACACTCACAGGATATGAAAAGACGCGCACTCACAGGATATGAAAAGACGCGCACTCTCACATACTATGATATGAACAGACGCGAACTCAAGGATATGAAAAGACGCACACTCTCACATACTATGTATGATATGAACAGACATTCTTACGGAATATGAAAAGACGCGCACTCTCACACACTATGATACGAACAGACACACACTCTCACAGCTATGAGAGGACGTGTACTTTCACAATTTATGTTATGAACAGACGCACACTCACATTGTATGATATGGACAGACGCACACACATTTTATGATATGAGCAGATGCGCACTCTCACATGATATGAACAGACGCACACTCTCACAGGATATGAAAAGACACACTCTCACATACTATGATATGAACAGACGCGAACTCACATGATATGAAAAGACGCACACTCTCACATACTATGA